GAAGAAGGGTGGAGAGGGAGGGGAACAGAAGAATAACTGTTACTTTTTCAATGTAGTCATCTGAGCTTTTTCCATATAGACCACAAATGAGCAGCATCTTGATCTTGGAAAAGATCCGAACTGAAATTTAACAGTTGACGCAGAATTTGGGGGAATCATTCCAGATCCTGAATTACCAATCTGACAATTTCCTTTTTTAAAAAAAAATAAAAGTCTGCAAACCTGGCAGAATCTAAGCCATGTTTACACTGTTAATGCAGATGCCATGACTTGGCAATAGGACATCTTAGGGATATTCTGGAGCACACTGGAGTATTCAGAACGCTACACATGACCCTCTCAGGTTTAAAGCCCCGAAGTTTAGCTTGTTCACCTCAATATCTTTATTCGCTTTCTGGTGGCTGTATAGCAAGTGTCCCAATCCAGTAGTGAACAGACCATACAGGCGGTGCACTGCAGTTGGTTGAATTAGTGGCTTTGTGTATTTTCAACTTTAAACTTTTCATGTAACTTATTAAAAAAAGTGTGCACAGAATCTCTCAAAGTGTCTATATGGCATTTCTCTCGTCTTTCTGACCAAAATAACATCATTCATCCCTTTTAAGGGCAGGTTAAAGAAATGTGCATGAATGAAAGCCAAAGTCCATCCCCTGTCTAGTCCTCTGTGGGAAGAAAGCATGAATGCATTCAAAGAAATAAAGTATTTCCTGTTTCTTTACCTGCATTTCACAGGGCAAGGTGATCCACTTAACATTCATGTAACTGTGCAGCAAATGTAGTTTTGCTTCCAACGACAGCGTCACACTATATATATTTAAAAAAAAAAAAAAAAGAGTCATGAAACAAAGTAACAATCCAGTATCATTTTAGTGATGGTGGTTCCACTTTATGTATGGTGATTTAGTTACACTTTAATTGCCCTTTTCTTCTATTAAAACACACTTACAATAATTACATGATAGAAATTAGCATCAAAAAGTATTTTGGAGTGATACCTGTACTTTTTTATATGTATTTCCTCCTTACATGAACAGCATTTATTTAAAAAGTAAACAGGACAAATAGCTTAAATTAAGTCTACATTCTGCATTTGTATAAAAGGAATTTCTGAAAAACACTTCTGTTCACCCTACATTTGTAAAAGTTATTTTACTGAACTTTCTAAATTAAGATTCTTCTGCAGATCTGAAAACTTGGACAGAACTAGTACTGTATATGAGAACAAGACAGAAAAACTGACCACATGCTAAAAGCTTTAGTTTTAATCAACAAAATAAGGCAGCAACTTTCTCATCTCTTTAAAGATACAAATTATTTCCACAGATAAATGCATTTTCTGACTTTGCATAACATGAAGCAAACAAATTGTACATATTCTTTCTGTGATTGATAATAGTTTACTATTGGCCATAGTGATCTCAGTTAGCCAAAGCTGAAAAAAAAATGAAGCTGTTAGAAACTATTACGCAGCAAGTGCGTGTATCTTGTTGGTATCCCTTTAAGAGGTAGGAGCAACGCAAGATAAATTTGAAAGCCGTCCAGTATTCTAACTCAGCCATAATGGCATACAGACGTATCATGTCTCTGTTCCTGCCTACAGAGAAAGGGGAGTGGTGTTGTTCTTTGCCATAGGGAGGGATAAATTCCTATGAAATTAACAAATCACCTAAGAACTCCTGAGGAAGCAGGGATTAGGTTACAGCAGGCATACATATGCAAAGTTGAAGAACAAGCACATCATGTCTTCAATTATTCAGGACAGCTCTATCTTAACTGGCTGAAGTTTACGAGGCTATAAAAGCGAAGGCACTTGACCATTCCTAAGGGGACTCGAAGAGCAAACAGTTAGTTAAATGCTGTCCAGGAGAGGGGCCTTGAATAATAAATCAATTTGAAGCTCTAGAACTGAATACAACAGGGCTTGTTTAACCCGGTGAGAGAACAGACAAGCTTGAACTGTAGAAAGTTTTCTGTGAGCTTCTAAGGTTCTCAATGAGTTTCTGATACCAAGAATCATTTTGTAAGGATCTAAAGCTTGCACATTTACCTGGCCTTGCTCGGGTCCTTAAGGATGGGCTCAGGGCAGGAAGTGAGGGGGAGGCGTGCAGGTGTCAGGGTTGGGGGGGTGAGGAGGAGCTCTGGCGAGGGGGCTGGGTGTGTGGGGCGGTGCAGGGAGGGCCAAAGATTCCCCCAGACTCACAGCTGGGCTGCTTGCTCTTCCCCTTCCTGTCCCTATCAGGGAGCAAGAGCAAAGGGCACAGCCTGCCTGCCCCTGTGCTCCCCAGCCAGAGAGAGGAATGCAGCATAGGGACGTTAGGAAGCGAGTAATTAGCTAACCGTGTAGTCGATAAGGGAGGAAGCACTCAGAGCTACCCCTGCTGCGGCTCTGCAGTGGGGGCGGTGCAGGGAGGGCCAAAGATTCCCCCAGACTCACAGCTGGGCTGCTTGCTCTTCCCCTTCCTGTCCCTATCAGGGAGCAAGAGCAAAGGGCACAGCCTGCCTGCCCCCTACACTTCCCAGCCAGAGCGAATTTAGGGAGGGGTGGAGTGTCAGCTCTCCTTCCCCAAAAAGGAGGGCAGGGGAGGCTCAGGTCTGGGGTAGTCCCAGACCGGGGAGGGGGTGCTGCCCCAGCCAGTCCCTTTCACCTGCCTGGTGATTCTGTCTCTTTTCTGTGTGGTTTTATGAGACACGATCCAATTCCATGCACATCCAGTTTTCCTGGTACAACCAAACCCTTACACTGCTTTAAGTTAGGATAAGAGGAAGCTGTATAGTGTATTAGGTGGTCCTAGCTCTTCCTGTTTAGGAGGAGTTCTTGAATGAACAGTCACACTCACAGACAGATAAGCTCTCTCAAAAATGTAGCAGATTAAACTAGTCACAGTCATTGTAGAATTGTGAGTGCCACATTACAGAAGGACTTTATTTAGCTCCTACATTGTTAATCCTATCATATGACTCCATGAAATAAAAACACACAAGGTTAAAAAAACTAAATAGACTTCTACCGTTCTTAAATTTGGCAGTGCTGCTTGAAATATATACTGTGTATTTCACCTCTGTTGGTCCCATACCACAACGAAAAAAAGTCAGTATGGTGTGGATAATCAATTTAACACCTAATGGAGAGCTGATTCTCTTAGCCAAGATTTTCAGATAGTCACGCTAAATAAATTGGATAAATAGTGGCTCCATTGAGGTTTATCCATCCTGACTGACTTTAATGGAGCCAGGATTTCATTCATTGAGTTTAGTTCTTCCTTATTGGAGTTGTCAGATGATAGAATTATCAGTTGTTTGTTTTTTCCCCCTTTGAAAATAATTACAAGTTCAGAACCTCATCCACAGCTTCTCCCTGGGGTTGGGGTGGGAAGCTGGGGCATTGCTGCCTCCCTGTGGTCATTCTGTGGTATTACTGTCCCTTGTATCGCACTCCTCCCTTTCCATTTGATGTGAAACAATCCTATTCCAGGCACATCCCATTGCTCTGGCACAACCCAACCCTGACCTTGCTTTAAGTTATGACAAGAAGAAGCTGTATATCGAATTTGGTGGACCTAGCTCTTACTGTTGAGTTTTTGAGCATATATATTCACAGACGGACAGAGACAGGATAGACAGACAGATGCACAAACACTCTCAAATATACAGTAGATTACCACGTGAGAGATGGCCAAATTCAAAACCACATTTTTCTGTATTCGTTTGGCACACAGGATTAATTTTGCATTCATGTTAAAAGGCCAGTCATTTGTACATGTGCACTTATTCCTGAAGTGGGTACCACAGGAAAAAAAAATCTAAATTCAGTTGGCTGGGAAATAAGCATTTACCTCCATAAAAATTATTTTCAATCGAAAGCCACTTTCCACAAAACATCTCTATATTGTCAAAAAGCAATTTGCCATTGAAAATACATTGCTAGAAAATTTTCTACCAGCTCAGAGCTATAACCTCAGTTACTATTGCTATAAGTTACTTATTCTATAACACCTACATAAACCTGCACTACCTTAAATACTTCTGCCTCACAATAACTGCTAACATTTGAAAAAAGGAACAGTGGTAAGGAAGGGCTGCTATGTCTGTTGATGATTTTCACACACTATGCATAAGTTTGAAACAGAGTGATAGACATTAACAGTTTTAGTTAATAGTTGGGGATACTGAGGGCTTATTTACACTAGACAATGGCAGCAATTGATCCACCGGTGATCAATTGATGTCTGTGTAAACAAACCAATCTTCGAGTGCTCCCCTCATCGACTCGTCTTCCAGGACAAGACGAGTACCTGGAGTCAACTGGAGAGCCACACTTATGGACCTAACCACTTGGAAGACATTGCCATAAGCGAATCAACTTCAGCTGCACTATTCACAGAGGCAGGGGGTTGTAGCATAGACTAGGCCGAAGTAGCAGGGCAGCTGCACTCAGGCAGTTTGATTTCCAGCTGAGAACTCACCTCGCTAGCTTGACATTGTCACTGTCATCTTTGCCCCATTCCCATTCTTTCCCAGGATCCACAGCGAAGTGCACAGGCAGCAGTTTGTGTTCCGAGTCGGTCAGAGGGATCACAGCTGAAACGGAAAGGGGTACAATGCAGCTTGTTGAGGGCCTGAAGAGACAGAGGCTGGGGCAACAACATGCAGAACAGATATGCCAAATCACAGCTTCCTATTTCTGCAGTGTCTTTGGAAAACGAAGCAAGTGTGGGTGAACAGCTCTGGAGGCTGAAGTCAAACGTTTATCTGCACAGTAGGGACAGCACAGGCAAGTTAAGTGCCCTTCATATCAGCCAAGCCTTCCAGTGTCCAAACCCTATAGTCCTTTAGTGGCTATGTCTAGACTGCAGGGTTTTTGCGCAAAAACTGAGTGTCCACACTGCAAGCGCGTTTTTGCGCAAGTTTACAGTAAATTAGAAGGGGGGTTTTTGCGGTATAGATATTCTTCTTTCTTCGAGGAATAAGCCTTTTTGTGCAAGCGCTCTTGCGCCAAAATGGCACGTGGGGATGGGAAATGGATTTTTTTGTGCAAAAACAGCCTATCGAAAGAAGCACGGGTGCCCTGATGGCCTCTCTGTTAACGGCAATGAGAGCTTTCTTGCGAAAGTGTGCCCGGGCAGTGTGGACGCTCTCTTGTGCAGAAGCACATCACTTTTCCAACGTGCTTTTGCAGTGTGGATGCACTCTTGCGCAAGAAGCCTGAAGTGTAGACGTAGCCTCAGCCTCTCTAGCTCAGCTTTCATTCACCCTACAGAGGACTGGGTCAATTTACATGGTGACTTGTGTAAGGCCAAAACATGCCCAATGTCTGGGACCTGCAGTGTCTCTCAGACTGGCCACAATGCAGCCTTACACTGCTCATGACTTAGTTACTGGCTTTGTTCTATAAATATTTATTCATTTAATTAGGGGAGGGGGGAAGGTGCAGTAGACATTTTTTAATTCTATATCAATGTTTAAAAATTAGGTTTTTTCCCCCAGGGCTCTGTACAAACAGTTCCCCATGAAAAATGTACTAGTGAACTTTTAAGGTGCCCCAGCAGGATCTACATGGACAAGTAACAATCAATACTTCAGTGTTCTTTAGAAATTAACTCTCCCTAAAATCTGCATTACTGTTCCATGTAGATCAACCTTCACCACAAGTAACCATTTCCAGTGTTTTTCTTGTGTCTACTGGAAGTTTAAAAATACTTTTGTATCGGGGGCCTTAAGTGGTAAAATCCCAAAATCAGAAGCCCTATAACGTACCTTGATCTTTTGTAGGTTCCTTCTGCTCCATGGATACTAGTGCAGAAAAATGGGCTTGATCATATGCCAATACCAAAGGAGAGCGATGACATTTGTTGGCAGGAACTTCCAGGGGCAGATAAATACCTCCAAACGGTATAGGAGCAAATGCTGAAAAGAAGGTACAAGGTGTTATTTTTCAGAATAGGTTATAAAGAACCACATATATTGAAACTTCTGAGCCAACTTGTTTCACTTCAAATTTCACCTTCACATTTGATCTGTCTAAATTATTTTACTGGGGAGAAGAATCAGACAATGACTGTCTAGAAAGAATAAAAACAACCGGAGGTGCAAAGTTGTGGTATTAAATTTAATCTAACACCCAAAACTTACATACATGAGGTGGGTAATTGATTCATCTTTTCTGACAGGAAATGAAAGATCTGCTGGTGGAAAATTATGTTCACAGGGAGCGGAATTTCCCTTCTGCCCATGAGTACGAGGTGGCAAAGAATTTGGAAAAAAACAAGTGCATGCCATCTCAAAGCCTTTGAGACCTCATATTATAAAGTGTTTGGCTGTATGCCTTAGTGAACCAGTTCGGTTCCGATGGAAGTTCTGTGGCAACTCTCCATAATCCACAGCAATCATAATGCATCTTTCTCCTTGTCAAATTTCAAGGAACAAAGAGCCCATGTGAAACTGAGTAAAGGGAGAAGGAAGTATTCCACTAAAGTGCAACATATACAGCTTAATTTAAAAAAAAAAAAAAAAAGAAAGAAAAAGCAGCTAGGCTGCAGAGAAAAGAGGACTAACAGGTCTGTAGGACTTACCTTCCCCACCAGAATCTCGCAGCATCGTATCTGCCACTACCACAACAGGCCTCTTCAACACATGGGCAAGAACAAAGACGTGGAACTCCTCCAGCTGTTAACACTTTGGAAATGAGAGAGAAATGTGAACAGCCCTTTACCTCTTGCACCTTTAATCACTTGCTTTAAAAACAGACTCTGAACAAACTGTATATAAAGCATCCACATAGCTCCTATTAATATCAGATTAGAGAGGGAGGCAAGTAGAGATCAAATCTATTTGATCTTTGGGCCAAGATGGATTCCAAAACAAACTGCGTGACAACGACTCATCTTCAATAACATTAAGACTTGGCACCTCTAAGATGTCTTTCACCTTAACGACTCTCAAAGATGGCTGATTTCCCTATTATTCAGATGGGAAAAGAAAGCAGACAGCCTATCCCTAAACCAGTTGCGGTACCAAATTAGATGGCTGTCATGCTGATTAATTCTATTGCCACGTCGAGCATCAACACTTATGGTGCTACAATGCTCATTCTAAAGCCCCATATGCAGAAGAAAGCTGGGAGAAGGTTAGACAGACAGGAGGAGCTGTGAGCCAACAAGATCCCTCTAAACCAGAGACACGCTTCCTTAAATGTTGTCCAATGCTCTGTGTGTACTGAGAAGAGAAAGTGTGCATGAACATCAGTGCATAACAAGGATTTCATGGTAGCTTTTGCAGAGACATTAATCCTTAGGAACACAAATACACAGAAGATTAAATTTCTTTCGTCTTCATTGTTAACTTGGTGTGTAGCTATTTTTACTTTCGTCTCTGCCATCTGGCAGAGAGGCAAGACAATACATGAGAACTGTACAAACGTTAGACGGCTCAACTAATGAATCTGAGCCCCCTCACGAAGAGGAGAAATAAGATTTAGGGCTCACCTACATAAACAATTAGTTAACAGCAATTTTGGGTGTGACTCTACCCTGCACTAGGTTGCCACAGGCTGTCTGCAAAACCTGCTGATGTGCACTGTAAATTCACACTCCAGCTTACTGCAAACTTAACGTTTGTACCAATGAGCCCTTATCTAGTTTATTTGTGAGTAAATTTTAGTGAGACAAAGCACTGGCTAGGACCAGAGTGCCCAGAGAGGTACTGCTAGCAGCAGTGAAAAAGCTCTCCATCATGGACCATTGTGCTCGGCCCTGTACTTAACACCATAAAAAAGACAATCTCTTGCCCTAGCAGTTCATCCTTTAAGTTGGAATGCACCTGAAGCAGCATCTGGTCGTGGTCCTCAGCTCCTCACAAATAATTACTGTAAGTCATGCACCAGTGGGTCTTGCAATGAGACTACTAGATTATTTTGGTTTTGAACCCAGAACATCTTGGAGGGCAGAAAAAGGGGGGGGGAGAAAGGGAGAGGGAGAGAAAAAAAAAAAAAAAGACTGGAATTATTCAGCTGGGCTGCCAAAACCCAGTGGCATCTACCATCTTTGTACAGTTGTTGTCCACTTACCCTCCACAGCTGCCTCCATTTGTACCATAATGCATACGCGGCTCACTGGATGCAAGTTTGATTAGTTCGTTCCACTCCTTTTGCCACTCCTCTTCTGTGTAAACAAGGCCAGACTAAACAAAAACAAAAAGCCCCAGACAGAATAAGGCTTCAGCAATTCGCTCAAGCAAGCTGCTTTAATTGGCCCCAGCATCCACTTCTCTACCGAATTTTGCAAATATATTTAATGCAAAAGAGTCTATAATGACCTGATCTGGAAGCACAACAAGTAACTAGAACAGATAATCGAGTTAGATCCAGAATCTATGTTCCATGCTAAAGGAAATAGAAACCATTTAAACATTTAAAGCTAGAGAACTGGAATATAACAAATCTCAATATTATACTAAAGGCATCACATTCTTAGAATTAAGGATCACATAACCTATTGAGGAGAGAAGGGTAGCAGGAAATTATAACTGGATTAGCAGACCTGCAGGTTTTGCTTTAGTACGCAATTGATTCCCTACCCCCCTAAAGAAGAAACACAACCGCAGACTGTCCAGAAAGGTCACACAAGGACTGCTTTTTAAGCACACCAATGGGTCAGATTTTCAGATGTTACAAACAAAAGGAGTTTACATTCAGTCCCACTTTCATTCTAGCCTGCTCCCACTACTTCAATGCTTTTGTTGATTCATTTCAGCTATGGTCACAGATTGGTCTCATGATGTGCTGCAGGATTCTGAAATAGCTATTTTCCAGCAATATCCAGGCATCATCCAAAAGAGACTGGTACCTGCTGGGTTGAGCACTGCAAGACACCACATACTACAGCACAACCCTTGCCATGAAGAGCTGACAATCAAAGAAGATTATTGGAGAATGGCCCTACACAGGTGCCATCTACGCTACATTTTCATTCGCGGTGGCTTTCAGGATTATATACAATTCAGTACAGTTATATTTTGGGAATAAGGAATCTTCAATCGGCTCTCTTGGCTGAAGCTGGTATGTTGCTATGTCAATGACCAACATGCTCACAAATACCAACAATAAAAGGTAAAAAAAAATACCAGAAGCCATATCGCAAACAAACAATTAAAAAAAAAAGTCAGCCTGATTTTAAGTTAGACCACACGAGATGTTATACCAAACTTACTAAACCAGGCTCAGAAATCTAATTCACCAGGACTGGAATGGAGTGGGTAGGTGTGTATGTGAGGGGGCGCTGCATAGCAGCATGGCCTAGCCTCTCTGCTATCTTATGTTCCAAAAATCTAAGCTTCAATTTTGAAAATTAAATCACTAGTCTTGTGAAAAGGTTCAAAACGTGAGCCAAAAGTAACCAAGTAACCAAAGGGTCAACCCAGAAGTAGAAAGATGAAAATTTAATTGTCAACGTTGTTAAATGTTCCGTAGCTGATCAAAGTACATAAAGAGAAGAGGATTATGTTGTGCGGCTCTGCAGTTTGTGGTGAACAAGCAACAATACCACTAACCTTTTCCAGTCCAAACCCTGACTTACAAGTCAACAGTTCAACTGCACCTTTAGTATTTCAAACCGGACGCTCCACTTCCACTGAAATCAAGTCACTCCACTCAGTGAGTGTTTGTACTTGTTGAATACAAGGCGTCCCGGATTTGGTTTGGGCTTAAGAACGGATGACAGTATCACCTGAACTCTGGAATGTCAGAGTCAGTCACCAAGTGAACAATCAGATCTTCCACACAAAGCGACTAGCACAAGCCTGTCTTTCATAACACTAACAGCCATTACTGCAGAAGAGATAACTGTGCTTTATTGGCAGCCTACAGCTGGAGACAGCACTCCGAGGCCACGGACGGATGAGTTGCTGAAACACATGCTTTGAACATTAACGAAGAAAAGTCCATTTCATTTTTAAAATATTTGGTTTTGACATATTCGGCTCTCTCTCTATAGGATTAATCTCTCACACTTTAAAGCCTATATATTACTTATCTTTAAAAAACAGCTCTAGGGAAAACTGTTCTTTAGAATGGGATTCTATTTAACTACTGACATCTGATAACGTTCCACCTTTACAAACACGCATCCCTTGTTTCCTTGGGCTAGTATCACTACTGTCATGGTCTTTTAATGTGGTGAGTGTCTGAATTACCTTTTTTGGTGGTGAAGTCCACACAGCGCTCAGACTGAGAAGTGTCTGTCTGATCTTATCACAAGAGAAGCCTACATAGAGTATGATGCATTTCTTTTTGCTGAAAACTATTTAGGATCATGCTCTGTGACTACCAACAAGTGTAGGCGCAATAGGAATGGCTGCAGCAAATCCTAATGTAACAATACGAGAAAGTATGAGCATTCCGTCACACTGTATTGTCCCAGTTGCACGGGTTCTCACGTGGGAACCTAACTAATCAGGGATAACCAAGTGCACCAATACTGGCTAACACAGCTATAAGTTACCACATGAAGAGTTTCTTTTCAAAGTTTCAGAATTGCACTTACAATGGATAGGTACGTCCCTTCTCACGGGACATTACAGATTTGCCCAAAATGCACATTATTTTTTAAAACAAGTTTTTACCCGAACAACTTAAAATTGTGCCTGGACACGCCTCCTTGAGCCATAACTAAGAACTCAGCCTTAATTCCTTCTCCTACCTCTTTGTTCTGCTGAGTTTGCTGCCATCGCCACCGTCGCTTAAGAGCTTCCCTTTCCACACCTTTATCCATTAAGGTATACAGCGATTTGCGAAGCATGAGATCTCTATCGTGGAAGCCCCACATACCTACATGGGGGAGAAGGGGGAGAGGAGGGAGAGAAAAGAAAAGTATTAACAGCAGCCGGCCTTTCTCCAGCCTCTGCACAACCCTGTGAACTAGGGGACTACAGCAGAACCTCAGTTGGGCTCCAATTAGAGGCCCCCTGCCTGGAGTGGTGGGGCTCTGGCGGTATCAGGCTTCACTTCCTCCTCTTGGGGTCATAGAGTAATTTTTGTTGTCACAAGGGTGTTGCAATGCAATGAAGTTTGAGAATCTCTCTTAGGTGTTTCTCCCACCCTGCTCATGGTAGAATCTGAGCACCTGGCCATCTCTAATGCATTCATCCTCACAGCACGCTTGCTATTAGTCTCATCTGGTAAATGGTGAATTGAGGCACCAAGAGCCCATATGACCTATCTACGGTCACACAGGAAGTCTTGGTCAGAGCAGGAATTGAACCTGAACCTGCAAAGGCCCAGACTAAGTCCCTATACCAGGGGTGGGGAACCTTTCTGGGGCTGGGGGGCTGCACACAAGTAAGAAACCAACCCCCCCCCCACCACACAACCATCATTGACAAGGCCCCTGACCATTCCCCACATTCCCTTCGCACACTAGAGCCTAGTGGGGCCCAAGCTCGTAGATTTTGTGCACTCCAGTCTCTCAGTAGGTGCAAGCTCTCCAGTCCTGGTGGGAAAAGGGGGGCTAGCCCTAAGCCTCAGGAGCTGGATCCAGACAAGCTGGGGGGCTGCATCTGGCCCCCAACCCTGCTCTATACAACTAAACTACCCCTTTCTCTGAATAAAATGAATAAAAGTCAGAGGATCAACTACCCTAAAGTGTAAGAGGGCCCTGTTTAGACAACTGCCCAGCACTAAAGTTACTGCAACCAGTGCCTTTGGATGCTAGACTTTTGCTGTTCAATAGGCCTTTATCTATGCTCTCCATTATTTTTATATAGCTCGTTCCAATCTTAACAACCACCATTTCAAAAGCTGTCTACTGCAATTCAAGTGCAGCTAATTTGGCCCTAGGCAGATAGCCTCGATTCTCAGGGAGTTCTGGAATTCACAGCGATTAATACAGTCCAAAGAGGCCTTCAGCAGCTTGTGTTTGCAAATCTTGGTGCAAAGCACAGTTCACGTCTGTCTGTCTGATAGACACACCCACCCACCCACCCCTAAAATCTTATTCTGAGAGCCACAAAGGCAATTCAATATTTTACACCTTGATTTTTTTTTTGCAAGATTGGCTAAGCCTCAAGCTACATTATTTTCACATAAAATGACTATTTTCTAAACAATGCTAAGGATGTTTCCTACCAAAAACCCACTTTCATAGCGACAGAAAATGTTAACCCTTCATATATTTCTTTCAGAAATCCATGTCTAACAATAGAGACTTTAAGGGTAGGTAGGGGGAAGAGAGGGGTTTTAAAAATAATGGAACTAGGGCGAAGTGGGGAAACACAACATGTTTTGCTTAAAAAAAAACCCCAGACAGAAAATCCTTCTCAAGTAGGGGTGTTGGCACTATAGGAACTTTTTACTCCATTTTTTTTCTTAATTCAGTTTTGCATGGAAACACCAGTTCATAGAATCAGCCATGTTTCCCCAGATCAGAGCGCCACTTCTACCTTGATACTTAATACAAATCCTCTGACCAAAAAAAAAAGAGGGGGGGGAGAGGGGAGGGTTAAAAATAAGAATGAAAGAAGCCAAGATCTTCCTGGGTGAGGCAAGATAACACTTCAGGAAAGAATAAAACTATTCTAGAGGCTGTTTCAGAAAAAGGCAGACCGCTCAAACCAGAATTCACTGCCCCATTTTAGGTTATTCTGGACTGTGCAGGCTTTCAAGAACACACACACTTACACACCCAGCTTTTCAAAGTTTAGTCCGTGTCACCCACCTGCGAAGCAGATGGAAAACGAAGGCAGAGAAAGAAGGCACATACCCAAAGCCACAAACCTAGGATTGAAATTCAAGTTCCTGGCCTCATCTCCTGTACTCAGATCATCTCCCTCTCTGACGAGCCCCCTTTAACACACTAGCCTATTAAGGGAGGGAAGAGATCAAGTGAGCCTGTTGGAAGTGGTGCCTAAAAAACTTCTCTGCATACGTTGATAATCAAGTGTCAAAGAAAGATCAGTCACAAAACTGTGGCTTTATCATTAATCGTTTGGAGATCTTACCCAGGGAGGCAGCATGAAGCAGGCAGTTCCCATCACCTGTTGTCGCCAAAGGAAGTAGCCTTTGGCAGCTGGGATCAACATTAGCCCACCAGTTTAGGCGACCTGTGGAAATATTTCAGAGAGACTCACTGTAAGCTCAGACTTGACATTGAAAGGGCGATTGGTAGCTTTGCCTGGTGAAAGGCAAAAGGTGGAAAGGATTGCAGCTTGGCCTGTCACAGAGCACCTGACACACAGGAATAAGCGGTTACATAGCCACTTTCTAGCGGGGAAGGGAACAAACCTATTTCGCTGCTTTTTCTGGCATAGATGACCATTTCCCCACTACTTCTGCCTGCTTTTCAGCAGAGAACTAGTCTCTCCAAGGGGGTGGAGGGGAGATCAAAGCAACAACAAAGAGATTTGCTGGACCAAGGAAGGCCCCTCCTCTCCTGGCCACCGCTGCGGCTGGAGCTCCTGGCTCCACCCCCCACTTCCATCCACCCACACGTCAATGCATACTACCGTGCTCCTGCCCTGCTGCCAGACTTCGCTGTTCCTGGGCTCTGTGGTCCAGAAACATCCATGGTCCATGCTGGACCAGGAAGTCTTGGTTAAGAGAGGTAGCACCCACAGTAGCTGAACAAACAAGGTCGGGGCCAGTATGGCTCAGCTGGTACCAATCATACCTTTGAGTCAGATGTGTGGGACTTTGGCTATGCCTAAAATGACAGAGGGGCTCAGTATTGCTGGCTGTGTCATCTTTTGAATGAGACATTAGGATCCTCTCTGGCTGGGTCTGATGAGGGCCTGGTAAATGTTAGTGATCCCTATGGCACTTTAAACCAAAAAATAGCAATTGAGGTCTCCAGCATCAAGGACTCCCTCCTTTCTGATTTAATGATGAACACAAAAAGGGTAGAAAGGACAAACTTTTCTGGCCACTCTGGAAACCAAGCCCTATTATGTGTAAGCCTGGTAAAGATGCAACAGGGAGGAGTAGAACTGCAGTAAGCGACAAGTACATGAGGCTATGTGGACGGAGGAGGAAGACATAGTAGAGGGAAGGGTTAGGGCTGGGGGTGGGGTTTAAACTTTTGCAGAAGGTGAATGGACAACCAACGACAGGCTAAACTGCCACGCGTGCCAAATGACTCCCTTCTGCAAGGCACTAACACCTGCCATGTCTTCCACCAGATGTTAAAGGTTCTTTAACAAGCCTGTATGCATCAAGCCACACAATACCCACAGATTACCACATCAGACCCATTTTATAGCTGAAGATACAAGCAAAGAGGGAGAAGTATCTTGCTGAAGGTCACCCATGGTAAGGCACAGAGCTGGGAACAGAATCCTGGAGGCCTGGCTTCTCCTTCTGCCCTTTAGCCTTTAACAATTTTTCCCGCTGATGTTCAACTGCAAAAGTGCTATTTTTAGTTTTGCCTAGTGGTTTCATCCTTCATATCTTAAGCATGCAGAGGTAACACTCTACGATGCTCTTTTTCTCCACTTGCCAGTTCAGGAACAGCATTTGGGAAAATACATTGATCCTACCAACTAAGCAGCTTTGAAAGTCTTTTCCCACACGATTTTAGCAGCCAATATGTGAACTGTCAGATTAGCACTTAAAACTGGGACGCCGAGCTCCCAGGTAGCATAAAACATTGGAATTGCTACCAATCAAGATACAGCCTCTCAGATCAGCTGAAAAGCAAACAGACTTTGAAAAATTCATACTAATAACTGGGGTCACGTGTCATGTAAATGGAGGAGTTTGAATCTTTATTTCTACTAAGAAACCAAGTTAAGTTACAGTAGTCTGTAGCAGAGGCAAGACTTCAGAAGTGTTTCAAGCAGAATTCAGCTTGCCCCAGTACTTTTAAACCACGTCAGCACCAAAATGTCCACTGTTAACTTCTCCATGATAGACCAAATGAATGTCAACCAGCAAGCTGGCAGGCATCTATTCATACTCCAAACAAGTTGAGACAGCATGTGAACCTATCTTTAGAAGAACAAGCTTTCTTTCCAGCATTACTCATTAACTTTCTAGTCTATTGAGTCAGAGAAGAATGCGCTAGATATTAGCTACAAAGAGCATTTACAAGTTAGGGACACATTTCTTGTGATTTTTCCTTACACAAGAATGGTCAAACCAGATCAGACGAAAAGGTTCGTCTAACCCAGTATCTGGTCTTTGGACAGTGGCCAAAACCAGGTGCCCCAGAGGGAAACCGAACAGAACCAGGGAATTGTTAAGCGATCCCACCTATCGCCCATTCCTAGTTTCTGACCAACAAAGGCTAGGGACACCATCCCTGCCCATCCTGGCTAACAACCATTAATGGCTCTATCCTCCATGAAGTATTCTAGCTCTTTTTTGAACCCTCTTATAGTCTCGGCCTTCGCAACATCTTCTGGCAAGGAGTTCCATGGGTGGACTGTGCATTGTGTGAAGAAATACTACCTTTTGTTTTAAATCCACTGCCCATTAATTTCATCTGGTGACCCCTAGTTCTTGTGTTATGGGATGGATTAAATAATTCTTCTGTATTTACTTTCTTCACATCAGTCATGATTTTAAGGCCTCTATCATAGTCCTCAATTGTCTCTTTTCCAAGCTGTGAAGTCTCAGTCTTATTAATCTCTCCTAATATGGCAACCATTCCATACCTCTAATCATTTTTGTTTCTGAACTTTGTAGTCTGACCATCAACAGATGCAAAAGAAATTAAATTAAATCTACGAGTTTTAACACCACAAAGGGACAAACACAAAGCACAAAATGGAGTGCTAACTGCAATTTGATGCCAGTAATTTATTTTCCTGGGACCAGAAAAGGAAAAGGAATCCACTCTGTTTAGTACACAACCTCTTGAGACAATAACTCCACTCAGAAAAGCAGGCTATTTTCAGTCAATATAGCTTCTGGCACAGCAAAGTCACAATCCTTCGCCAACTGGAACAGTGCCAGAAGAGTAAACTGAGAAACAAAACAGCTTCTGAAAAAAGCTAAACAAAATTTAACACCACTGTAGTGCCTCAAGCTTTTTGTCCACTGCACACGTTTTCCTGGGAATTTGTTCTCATTTCAGCTGCTGAACTTTAACGTGTACAAGGAAGTTAACTTTCCTGGAACTAACTCTGATTAGTGTCTGAATATGTTGTGCAGTCGCAGGCCGGGACGACTTGTAAAATTTAGAACACAGCTATGTTGCTCAGAGGTGTGAAAAACCTCACACCCATGAGAGCCATAGCTATGCTGAGTGGTGCGGTCTCCAGCGCAGACATGGGTAAGTAGGTGGAAGAATGTTTCCATCGATCTAGTTACCACTGCTTGGGGAGTTGGATTACTTACCGTGACAGAAAAACTCCTTCTGTCACCACAGGAAGCATCTAACGCTTCAATATTACAGAGGCACAACTCAAATGCTTATGCCACTGTGGTTGCCCATAGTGTAGATGGCCTCTTGCAACGTGACACTAGGTTAAAATCAGAAGACACCTTAGAGAGGCATTTTCTATTTGCAGCGTGTAATCAGGATGTGCTACGTACACCCCAGGCGATGCACGAGCAGCAATTTGCGCCTTTGTTCCAAACGTGCTGAGTTATACAAAAACAGGCACCTCAACTTCAGTCCTGTAAACCATTTCCAAAATCCATTTTGGAATGGTTTGCTTTTTCCAAGGAGACGGAAAGGCCGAGCTGTCTGCTAAAAGTCTTGAAAACAAGATGCCCACACACACTTAAGAGATGTCTATCTTAAGAACTGTGGCCACAGTTCTAGCCCAAAAGCAGGCGAATTCTCTCTGAAATCTTAGCTTCAGAGATACAATTACACTAGAAGTTGCTTCCATTAGAAAGTCACATGAATATGAGCACTGAAACACAGCAAACAATAAGCCAGAGATGGTGCATTTTGTACTTCCATGGAAATTCCTGGCTTGCTCTTCTTTCCCAGCCTCAGTGCTATTATCCTGCCTAACCATGGTCTAGAGATGGATTTTAGGAGATATAGAATCATAGGACTGGAAGGGACCTCGAGAGGTCATCGAGTCCAGCCCCCCGCCCTCAAGGCAGGATCAAGCTCTGTCTACACCATCCCTGACAGATGTCTATCTAACCTGTTCTTAAATATCTCCAGAGAGGGAGATTCCACCACCTCCCTTGGCAATTTATTCCAATATTTGACCACCCTGACAGTTAGGAATTTTTTCCTAATGTCCAATCTAAACCTCCCCTGCTGCACTTTAAGCCCATTACTCCTTGTCCTGTCCTCAGAAACCAAGAGGAACAAATTTTCTCCTTCCTCCTTGTGACACCCTTTTAGATATTTGAAAACCGCTATCATGTCCCCCCTTAATCTTCTTTTTTCCAAACTAAACAAGCCCAGTTCATGAAGCCTGGCTTCATAGGTCATGTTCTCTAGACCTTTAATCATTCTTGTTGCTCTTCTCTGTACCCTTTCCAATTTCTCCACATCTTTCTTGAAATGTGGCGCCCAGAACTGGACACAGTACTCCAGCTGAGGCCTAACTAGTGCAGAGTAGAGCGGCAGAATGACTTCACGAGTTTTGCTTACAACACACCTGTTGATACAACCTAGAATCATATTTGCTTTTTTTGCAACAGCATCACACTGTTGACTCATATTCAACTTGTGGTCCACTATGACCCCTAGATCCCTTTCTGCCATGCTCCTTCCTAGACAGTCGCTTCCCATCTTGTATGTATGGAACTGATTGTTCCTTCCTAAGTGGAGCACTTTGCATTTCTCTTTATTAAACCTCATCCTGTTTACCTCTGACCATTTCTCTAACTTGCTAAGGTCATTTTGAATTATGTCCCTATCCTCCAAAGAAGTCGCAACCCCACCCAGTTTGGTATCATCTGCAAACTTAATAAGCGTACTCTCTATCCCAATATCTACATCATTGATGAAGATATTGAATAGTACGGGTCCCAAAACAGACCCTTGCGGAACTCCACTTGTTATCCCTTTCCAGCAGGATTTAGAACCGTTAACAACAACTCTCTGACTACGGTTATCCAGCCAATTATGCACCCACCTTATCGTGGCCCTATCTAAGTTATATTTGCCTAGTTTATCAATAAGAATATC